ACCCTGGTCCGGGGGCCTTTCTGGGTGGAGTTTGCATGTTCTCTCCGTGCATGCGTGGGTTTTCTCCAGGTGCTCTGGTTTCCTCCCACAGACCAAAAACATGCATGTTAGGCTGATTGGTAACTCTATATTGTCCCTAGGTGTGAGTGAGGAAGTGAATGGTTGTTTTTATATCATTTGTCTCTATGTGGCCCTGTGATGGACTTGCGACCTGTCCAAGGTGTACCCTGCCCCTCACACAGTGATTGCTGGACATGGGCACAGGCGACCCCCGTGACCCAAAATGGAATAAGTGGGTAAAGATAATGGATGGATGGATGATGGATTAGGAGGTGGTTCCACTGGCACCAGTCCACAAATTCATGAGTCTGCTGTTTGTACTCATGAGTCGTCCTCACCTGTGATGAGGCCGACTATGGCAGAGTCATCAGAAAACTTTTGCAGATGGCAATGTGGGGAGTTGATGGAGAAGTCTGCAGTGTAGAGGGTGAAGAAGAACAGTGCCAGCAGAGTTCCCTGCGGGACCCCCGTACTGCAGACCAGTCTGTCAGAGATATGGCCCTGTGTCCTCACAAAATGTGGGCATCCAGTGAGGTAATCCAGTATCCACTGGGACATGTGGTGATCCACTCCTAATAACTATAATAGAGACGTAGAACATGGCCCACTTGGACTCAATGTCCCCTACCTCCCCCGGAATGTGTTTGAAGTTCTCCCAGAGGTGGGAGTTAAAGCTCCGTCTCATGGGAGACTCTGCCAGATGTTCCCAGCAGACCCTCACAATATGTTTGGGCCTGCCAGGTCTGACCTGCATACTCCCCCACCATCGGAGCCAACTCACCACCAGGTAGTGGTCAATGGACAGCTCTGCCCTGCTCTTCTCCCGAGTGTCCAAGATATACAGCTGCAGATCAGATCAGATGACAACAAAGTCAATCATTGAACTGCGACCTAGGTTGTCCTGGTGCTAAGAGCACATATGGACACCCTTATGCTTGAATATGGTGTTGGTTATGGGCATCCATGATGAGCACAGAAGTTCAACAACAACACACCACTCGGGTTCAGATCAGGGGGGCTGTTCCTCCCAACCACAACCCTCCAGGTCTCACTGTCATTGCCCATGTCAGCGTTGAAGTCCCCCAGCAGAACAAGGGAGTCCCCAAGAGGCGCACTCTCCAGTACCCCCTCCAAGGACTCCAAAAGGGTGGGTAATCTGAACTGCTGTTTGGGGCATAAGCACAAACGACAGTCAGAACCCATCCTCCAACACGTAGGCAGAGGGAGGCTACCCTCTCATTCACCGGGGTGAACCCCAATGTACAGGCACCAAGATGGGGGGCAACAAGTATGCCCACTCCTTCTAGGCACCTCTCACCAAGGGCAAATAACTCCAGAGTGGAAGAGTGTCCAAGCCCTTTCAAGGAAACTGGTTCCAGAGCCAGAGCCATGTGTCGAGGTGAGTCAAACTATTTCTTGCTGGAACCTTTCAACTTCACACACCAGCTCAGACTCCTTCCCCACCAGAGTGGTGATATTCCACGTCCAAATAGCCAGCTTCTGTAGCCGAGGATCAGACTGCCAGGGTCCCCGCCCTCGGCCACCACCCATCCCACATTGCACCCGAAACCCTTTGGCCCTTCCCACATGTGGTGAGCCCATGGGAAGGGGGACCCATGTCTCCTCTTCAGTCTGTGCCCAGCCGAGCTCCATGGGTAAAAGCCCGGCCACCAGGCGCTCGCCAGCGTTCCCCACCTCCAGGCCCGGCTCCAGAGTGGGGCCTTGGTGACCCACGTCCGGGCAAGGGAACATTGAGTCCATTCATTTGGCTCATCATAGAGGTCTTTGGGGTGCACTTTGTCTGGTCCCTCACCTAGGACCTGTCTGCCTTGGGTGACCCTACTAGGTCACCCAAGGCAGGTCACTCAAGGTCATTTTGACCGTGTGCATTCCGGCAGCTGTTTGCTCGGATCTGGCAACTCACATCTCCGCCCCTAAAAGTCCAAAGTCATTGCACATTTTTATTTTGATTATTTATTAAAAAATACAGAGAGGAGACGTTGCCCAGTCTGTGGAGTGGATATTACGGCTGCAGCAGGCGCACCAGCTTGTGCACATGTTCCTGTCCAGCGGACGCGGATCGCATGTCCCACAGGGATGAAGTGTCTTCCTCAATTTGGCAAGCCAAGTGGCCCATTAATAGCCAGACATGTGGTAAAATTGGCCCTTATTGGGCCACTTGGTTTGCCATACTTTACACACATGAGTGTCTACAGACAGTTCTACAGAGGGTGCACAACTGCTGATGTGAACTCACGCATACGTTTCAGACATAATAAATAAAAAGCTTAGCTACAGTAAAAAAAATACAATGAGAGAAATGTTTGACGTGTATTATTCACGTATCAAAACATCCATCAATTATCTTTTACCCACTTCTTCCATTTTGGGTGATGGGGATGCCGGTGCCCATGTCCAGCAATCACTGTGCGAATGGCGGCGTATACACTGGACAGGTCCCAAGTCCATCACAGGGCCACATAGAGACAAACGAGACAAACAACCATTCACTCTCTCACTCACACCTAGGGACAATTTAGAGTCACCAATCAGCCTAACATGCATGTTTTTGGTATGTGAGAGGAAACTGGAGTACACGGAGAAAATCCACGCATGCATGGAGAGAACATGCAAACTCCACCCAGAAAGGCCCCCAGACCAAGATTTGAACCAGGGACCTGCTCGCTGAGAGGCAGCAGCTCTACCAGTTGCATCACCGTGCTGCTCCTTATCAAAACAATGGTGCTAATTTGTCAAAATAACAGCAATCAAAATGTCAAAGAGACAGTCCAATTTACTTTCATAAAATAAATGGATGTGGATGGATTGTCCTTAGTTGGACAATCGAGAAGGCAGTCGTAATTGAGACTGGAGCAGCAGGAGCAACAACACCCAGGAATGAAATCAGTGGAGAAGAGTTTGACTCAAACATGAAGTGTGTGTGTGTGTGTGTGTGTGGGGGGGGGGGGGGGTGGGGGTAGGAGGCTTGACAGAGTCGGTGCTGCTCTATTCACACACAACCTGTTGTTGCTCTCTAAAATAGTAAATGAATCAAGTGTTTACAAATGTAGGTAAATGTAAATGTTTAACACCCCGCTAAAATAGGCTACACCAAAATGCAGGAAATAGCATCTACTTTATTAAAAAATTTAAGGGGGAGGAGAACTTCCAAGCTCCCTCCACTTCCTCGTTTGCCCCCCGCAATCCCCCCCCCCCCCCCTCCCACCAGCCCGCCCACTATTCTCTTTCCGGCATCCATCAGTTTACAAATTAAGGCCTGCGTTTCGCCCTTCATCAGAAGTCCTCTCCCCCGTCGACTCGGCCCAGGCAGCCACAGCCAAAGTGGTTCATGACATCAAGGTTCATGCTCAATGATCCAGGTAAAAAAATCCAACAATGTTCAGACAAGTCATCTGGACAGTTTTTTTTCTGTTGAAAGGCATTTCTCCCTTCATCTGAAGGGCTGCCTGGGAGGAGTTGATGGGGGAGAGGACGGCCCTCAGAAACCATCTTATCACCAGCAAACTGGTTGGTCCACTATAGCAGTGTGATGCTTATTGGGAAAACAGTTTGTTTGTGACTCCTCAGACTGATGAAGCCCTTTGGATGAAGGGCAAAACATCTCTCAACAAAATAAGAAACTGTCCAGATGACCTGACATTGTTGGATTTTTTTACATGGATGAATGAGCACGAACCCTGACATCTAAGCAAACACTTACTGCACCCTTTCTAAATGAGAGTTCTCAGATCTTGCTCCAGCAGGATCTGGCTCAAATCTAGCCCTGCAGTTTGCATATCGATTGTGGAATTTATCTCAGCTACAGAGAACTCCTTCTCCAACTCTTTAGCAAGATCAGAATTCATTGAAGGAAGTTTAAGATCTTTAAAAAAGTTCTCTATGTCCGATAGACTAGCTGATGACTCAGTCATATACAGTGACTAGTAAAATTTACTAAAACATATATTAATTCCAGCATTATCGTGACATGCAGCTTCCTGGTTGTTGTTTATTACTGGAATAGTTTGGTTGGCTGACTGTTGCCATAGCTGATGCGTGAGCAAGCGCCCAACCCTTTCACCATATTCATAGTAACCCTGTCTAGATTTAGAAATCAATTATTCTGTCTGCTGAGTACACAAAGTATTCAATTAAGTTTGGAGTAACAAACATTCTTTCATTAGTTCTTGTGAGGGGTAGTGGCTATGTTCTCTATCTAATTGTAATATCTCATCCGTTCATTGTCTTAACCGTACCAAACCATTCTTTTTTTTTGTTTTTATTTGCACAATAAGGAATTATTTGACTCCTCAGGTAGGCCTTCAATGCGTCGCTGACAGTACAGAGTGGCATTCCTGGTGTTCTGTTACCTTCGAGGAAAATTTCAATTTCAGATGTAAAAAATTTGATAAAGTCTTCCTCGGACAAAAGTAAAGAGTTGAATCTCCAAAGATGATATACAGATTTTGTGATAGGGATAAGCAGTTTCACAATACTGTAAGTGGACCATGGCCCCATAGTTACCCTTCTTTCACTAAAGGCAACGTTCATTTATCAAGGAAGAAAAAGTCGATTCAGGAATACGTACAAGGGTGGAGCAGCTACAGAGTGAGTGTGAGTACAGGATGGAGCAAGGAGAAAGTGTCGGCATCCTAGAGACAATTTTTGAGTCATTGTGGTGTTTCTTTCTTCTGATTATCACACACGTAGAAGTAGCTGAAAAGAGAGCACCATTTTTAAAATATCTATTACTATAGTTTTTATCAGATTTTGTTATGTTTTAGAAAACTCTGAATTTAAATAAAATCTGGGCATTGAAGTTTTTAAGGATCAAGGAACAGGACATTATTTTTCTTCGAAACAGAGCAAAATGTTTAACAGAAAGGACTTAAGAATAATCATGATAGGGGAATTTGAACTGCAATATTTTGCCAGCCTACCTGTTTGGCTGTGAAATAGGCCATGGCAGTGTCAGTGACATGGTAGGCCTGAAGACTCAGCTCTGATAGGTTGGGCAGAAGCTGTGAGATTGCAGCGATGGCATCGTCTGCCACATTGATGCAGTCACTGACACTGAGGGACGTTAGCCTGGCGTTGAGACTGGACCACAGGCCGGCTTCTGTGAAGTCATTGCAGCCTGACAGTTCGAGGTGCATCAGGCCTTGCATTTGCTCCAACATGACCTGAAAAACAACAACATTGCATGACATATTATTAGTGTAACACTAAGAAATGTGGCAGGTTGTACAGTTTTTTGAAAATGATAAATGAGTAAAGAATCTTCAATTCTATTAGAACAGCAAAAGCACACGGTCTGGATTCTATTTATTGCCTGTGATGGTGCAGAGTCTGACTTTTCCAGGGCAGGACAAGCCTTTTTGAGATGCTACCATTTTAGAACCATCTGGTATGACCATGTACCTTGTCAGGACCAGAAGCCCTTATGGGAACCAAACCCTACTTAAAAGATGGTGGAACATAATTTTTAGAGTACCGGTAGGTTTATTGCAAAGTTTATATACTGGATTTTGTTTCAATAGGCATGATGGATAAGGTTCAGGGTAAGGGTCTAGGTTAGGCTACAGAAATTAAAGACAAACCTTTTCCTAATAAGGATGAATGTACAAAGTGTTAGTGTAACATCTTGCATTATTGGAAGAGATCACATTTTATGTTGTGTTTAAGGTTTGACTAAACTGATGACAACTCCATAATTTTTCAACTAAAGAGGATCTTAGTTTAAATCTCTGTCATGAAAATCTGTGAAATCTGTGACATTATGTATTCATCTAATGGCATGGGTGATGTGCATTTCATCAATAAATACTAGGCTTTGTCTTCTTACAAGAAGCACCAAAATGAGAATGCAGAAACAGCATCTCATAAGAGAAAACTCCTTAGAAAGGATGCAGCCAACAATTTCTCATTTCTCCATGGCAACCATCCACTCTTCCCAGAATAGCAGCCCAGCTGAACAAGTAGGGAGAGCCATCTGAGGCTGTTTACACAAAAACGATTTCTGGTGAATATGAAAGAGTTTTGTTGCGTTTGTACTGTTCATTTACATGAATATAGCAAATGTTTTCTCTAACGGCACAATTTGAGAATGGGCTCCAGAGGGCAATGGTTCAAAAACGTCCTGGTGTCTGTTGTTGTGTAAACAGAAAAAAATATATATTTTCTGTCAGGGAATCCCTGGCGCTTGCGCAGTATAACGTAAAACATAACAGCTTCCTACAATCCGCAGAAGAAGAAACTATTGACAATGGCAGATACCAGAGCATTGCTTATGCTTCTGACTCATAAATCTAAATACAGCTCTTCAACATGTTGCTCATTTTCTACTTCTTTACTTAAATCATCGAAGACGGATCTCATACAGCTCCACTCTGTTACTTAACGCATATATGCGAAGAAGAAATACGGCTAGGAGACACTACTGAACGCAACCTGGGAGGACAAGCCAGTGTTGGGAGAACTTTGTAAACAATGTAGTCAATGAGAAAGAATGGAGGGAGAACTTTCGTTTGTTGAAGCCATCCCTTATCACTTTGAGTGAGGAACTTTGCCCTTACATTGAGGGGGAAGGGACTACCATGAGATCACCAGTTGATGTCTTAAAAAGGTGGCCTGTACACATCATTATTTAAGTGATGAGGGAAGAATCCAAAAAACAGCCAAAGCTTTTGGTTTGTCATGAGCTGCTGTGTCCGTTATCATCAGAGAAACCTGTTATTCCATCTCTGTTAACCTGGGTCCAAAATATATCTGATTACCAATTAAATGAGATAAATTAGTTTCAAGTTTCAAAGAACATAATACCAACTAGAGGAATGGTGAGGGAATTACACATTTTCAACTTGTACCATTGCTGTGTAAACAGAGATTGTAATTAGAACGTTTTCATGTAAATGTGTTAATAGAAATGGGGAAAAAAATCTGTTTCATTGGATCGTTGTTGTGTAAACAGGGCCTGAGGCACTTTCTTCAAACACTGTGTTTTTGGTCTTCATAATAAAGTATGGCAAGACAGAGAATATTTAAAAAAAAGTTTAAGAAAAGTCATAAACAGAAAAGAACTGCATGGTGAAAAGCGGTTAGAGCTGTCATCACTCAGCGAGAAGGTCACAGGTTTGCCCCCCAGCCTTTCTAGGTGGTTTCATAATAACTCATTTGAATGTGGGAACACTGTCCGAGCACAAGGAGTTGCTGTGCCAGCTCAGATGCACAATGCTCACTTTGTGGCTTTGTCAGTTAGATGTACAAAATCCAAAACTGACTCTGCAAACGTCATACAGAACATTAATAAATCTGGTCATAAGTGTTAAACCAAAATGATATGATTCTTGGTGTGTATCAAATTCGACTTCCACATTGCCTGAACCAAACACAGGCTAACTTACCTCCAAACCTGCATCTGTGATGGTCGACCTCTTCAGGCTGAGAGAGCGAACCCCCTTCTTGGAAAGAGGGTAGTTGTCAATAAACTCACAAATGTCGAGGTCCGACACCCCCACTAAACAAAACGACTGGAAGCCACGCAGAGCAAAGGCCTGCAAACTGACAAACTCCTTCTCCCCATTGGGCAGAATGTTGTAAAGCTCCTTGGCATGTAAGATGGGTGTCACATTTTCCCAGAACTTCGGCTGGTACAGCACCTTGCGCCATGTCTTGCACACTTGTGCCAGCACACATTTCTCTGCCGTGGTGAAGTACCAGAGGAGTCGGTTTAGAAGCTTCTCATCCAGCACAAGCTGACGCTCCAGCAGCACAGGTTTTGGGAGGGTGAGAGGAGGAAGCTGGCGAAAGGTTGACTTCAGGGCCATCAGAGACTTACTGGGCTCCAGATCAGAGGTCAAGAGAGGCACTGCAGCATGAGGCATGCCGGGGCCATCCAGATGGTGGTGGTGATGGTGGTAAGGAAGGGAGGATGGTGGAGGAGGCAGGATCGAAGGTACAGAGGACGACTGACACAGGCGGTTTTTAGCAGCAGGTGTCCCCTTGGTGATACTCGCGCTCCCTAGGCCATTTGGCTGGCTGGGGGGCAACTTCACCATCCCATTGCGAGTCACGCAGGGAGACTTCAGCTCACTGGGGGTGGACATGTTCAACATTGGGAACCTGATGAGCAAAAGCAAATAAAAAGTATTCAATTAGAAATAAAGAACTTTGGACAGACTGACAGACAGGTTTGTTACAGCAGATTCTCATTGTCATGCAGACATAATCAGGGCGGCTGTGGCTGAGTTGTTAGAGCAGTCATGCTCCAATGCAAGAGTTGGGGGTTCGAATCCACCAGCAGTCACATGCCGAAGTGTCCCTGGGCAAGACACTGGACCCCTAGTTGCCTCCAATGTGTGTCCCATCAGTGTATGAATGTGATAAAGCTCTGATTAGTCTCTTTAGAATGATTTGTTCAATTAGCTTTGTAGAGATCTTGTAGAGAGCTGTATGAATGGGTAAATGAGGACACAGATTGTAGTGTAAAGCGCTCTGAATATCTCAATAAGATAGAAAGACGCTATATAAGTACAGTCCATTTATCAAAGGTAAGGACCTACATACGTTCAACCATCATGTAGATACTGTATGTCTGCTAATATATTTGTGCTTGTTCAATGTCTAAAGGCAGCAGACAGTCGTTCATCGAAAATGATCAGTCTGTGACTGAAGGTGCAGAGTTTGAGCACCCAAAGTGTGTGGTGTGTGTGTGTGTGGGGGGGGGGGGGGGGGGGGGGGGGGGGAGCTTTGGGAGTGTCCTCTATGTGCTGGATTGTGTCCTGTTCCAAACTAAAAATAAAACTGACCTTCTTGATCAGCTTGTTGATCCATTTTTGTTCATCTCAGTCTTCCTCTCACCAAGAAGTCTTATCGTTATCATGAAGACTGATGGCTCAGTTTATTATAATATTATAAATTATAATTACTTTAAAACCACAAGCCCAGACAACATCCCCTGGAAAGTGCTGAAAGAATGTGCCAACCAGCTTTGTGAGGTGTTGGCCAACATCTTTAACTCCTCACTTACCCTGGCAACAGTTCCCACATGCCTGAAGACTGCCACCATCATCCTAGTCCCAAAGAGCTCTACTGTGACTGGTCTGAATGACTACTGGACAGTGGCCCTCACCCCAATAGTCACCAAATGCTTCAAAAAACTGGTCATGACCCACATCAAAACAACCATCAACATCAATGAGGACCCTCACCAGTACGCATACCACGAGAATCGATAAACAGAGGACGCCATCTCCTCTGTGGTCCACACTGCTCTCACCCACCTGGAGCAGAAGGACTCCTACGTCCATATACTCTTTGTGGACTTCATGTCTGCCTTCAATACCATGATTTCCCCAGATCCTGATGGACAAACTACTCACACTAGGGCTAAGCCCCTCCATTTGCAACTGGGTCCTAGACTTCTTAACAAACAGACCAGTCAGTGAAGATCCACAACTTCTCCTCCTTCACCATAACCCTCAGCACTGGCTCCCCTCAGGGATGTGTGCTGAGCCCTCTTCTTTTCACTCTGCTCACGTATGATTGTGCACCTACTCATCCAGACTGTAATATTGTAAAGTTTGCAGATGATACAGCGGTGGTGGGATGCATCACAAACAATGATGAGTCCAGCTACAGCCAGGAGGTGGAACACCTGGAGAGCTGGTGCAAGGAGAATAACCTTCACATCAATGTGAAGAAGACGAAGGAGATGGTTGTGGATTTCAGAAGGAACAAACACACCTATCCCCCCCCCCCCCCCCCCCCACCCACCAAACATAGGAGGATATGCAGTGGAAGTGGTCTCCAGCTACAAGTACTTGGGTATGCACCTGAACAACCTCAGCTGGGGCAACAACACCACCAGCCTGATCAAGAAAGCTCATCAGAGACTCTACTTCCTCAGGCAGCTGAGACGAGCTGGCCTGGGAAGCTCAGTCCTCACCTCCTTCTACAGGTGTGCAGTGGAGAGCATCCTGTACACCAGCATCAATGTTCAGCATGGAGACTGCACAGCTGGAGAAAGAAAAGATTTGCAGAGGGTGGTGAAGGCTGCACAGAAGATGATGGAGTCAGTCTCCCCACCATCACAGACATTTACACCTCTAGATGCAGGAACAGTGCCACTTGCATTATGAAGTAACCCCCTCACCCAGCACACACACTTTTTGCCCCGCTCCCCTCAGGAAGGAGGTTAAGGGGTATTAAGTGTAGAAGCACTAGACTGAGGAACAGCTTCTACCCTGACGCTGTTAGACTCATGAATATCTAACCAGGATCATCACTGTGAAAAATCACGTTGTTGCTGATATGTTTCATGTTGCTGTGTTCATTCATACTCATCTGCTCACACAGACTCATGTTGTGCTGCTCTTCGGCGTATTGTTTTTACGCTATTAGTGCTTAGCGTATTTTTAGCTGATGTTTTTCTTAGTTCATGTCTGAGATCTTAGTACTGTTTTTCTTTTACATTTTATTGTTGGATGTAACTGGGACCCTATGCACATGCCGGTAATTTCGTTCTACCACATGCACCACATGTGGTGCGAATGACAATAAAGAATGTCTGAATTTCTGAATCTCTGAAGAGCACATACAAAGAAACCCCACTTTGTCTTTAAACATTTTCATTCCACAAAATGATTAATAATTAGTAAATGGTAAATGGACTGAACTCATATACAGCTTTTCTATCTAATCAAAGTACTCAAAACTCTTTACACCACAATCTGTGGCCTCACTTACATCCACATATTCGTAGAGCACTCTACTACTACACACACACACACACACACACATTTATACAGCACTCTACTAGACATATATTTGGACAGCACTCTACTAGACACACACACATTCATACAGCACTCTACTACTACTGAGAAAATAGTTTTCATTCAATTAAACAAGTTTTTGAATGAGAACAGAATCTTCAAAATTTTTCAATCTGGTTTTAAGCAACTCCACAGCACTGAAACAGCATTAGTAAGGGTTTGTAACGACATTATGATCTCAAACGATTCTGGTCAATTTGTGGTACTTGTGCTCCTGGACCTTACTGCTGCTTTTGATACTGTTGACCACAGTATCCTTATATCACGGCTGGAACAGTGGGTTGGGATCACAGGTGCTGCATTAGAATGGTTCCGCTCATACCTGAGTGGCAGGAGTTTCTGTGTCAAGGTTAGTAATAATGTATCCACCTCATTACCACTTTCTTGTGGGGTCCCACAGGGTTCGATTCTTGGACACCTTCTGTTCTCACTTTATTTGCTCCCACTGGGGTCCATCCTGAGGAAGCATGGTCTTTCATTCCATTGCTATGCTGATGACTGCCAGATCTACCTGCCTGTGAAACCAGCAAGTGTTTGCTCCATTCACCCTCTGTTAAAATGTCTGGACGACATTAAGGCCTGGATGGCTTCAAATTTCTTAAGTTTTAACAATGACAAGACTGAAGTCATTGTTTTTAGCCATAGCTCAACTGCCACTACTGATCCTGTCAACCTGGACTCTCTTCAGCCATATCTGAAGCAGTTTGATAAAAATCTCGGGATGGTTTTAGACTCTGACTTAAAGTTTGACAAACAAATCAACTCTGTTATTTTCTAAACATAACGTCCCAGTGGCTTTTAAACCCCAAAATACATTACGGCAAAGACTGGTTCATCCCAAAGATCCAGTCCCCCGGCACAAACAGAGCAATGTTGTGTATGCTGTTCAGTGTCAGGAGGGCTGTGATCAGTCTTACATCGGGGAAACAAAACAGCCACTGGCCAAAAGGATGGCCCAGCACAGAAGATCAACATCATCAGGCCAGGACTCTGCGGTCTACACTCATCTCCAGGCCAGCGGTCACTCTTTCAGGGATGAAGATGTTCACATCCTGGACAGAGAGGAACGGTGGTTTGAGAGAGGAGTAAAGGAGGCCATCTTTGTGAAAAGAAATCGTCCATCGTTAAACAGGGGTGGAGGCCTCCGGGTTCAACTGTCCCCCTCTTACAATGCTGTGATTGCTAGTATCACTCAGCCCTCTGTGAATAGTAAACAGCCATCAGTGTGCTAATGATCCATTGTTAGGCTGATGGTCCATCTTGAGCATGTGATCAGCTGGTTTTGGTTGTCAGCAGCAAAACTGGTTGATCCACTCGGAGACGGTGCTATTTAAGAGACTGAGCTGAAAACAGCACCTCAGACTGAGGAAGTCTCTCGGATGAGAGACGAAACGTTTCTACATTTTTTTGTTGTTTTGCTTTGTTTTGTTTTTTTGAATGTCCAGAGGACCAGATTTAACTTTTTTAGATGAATTTAATTGAATTGAGAGCAGCACTGGATGCTAATGCTAAAGATGCACTAAGTGAGCTACATGAGCTTTTTATGTGGTGGCTGGCGATTTTAACCACGTAATCCTGACAGACACTCTGTCAAGGTTCCATCATATCACCATACCAACACAGGGAAAAAATACACTAGACCATGTTTATACCAACATATGAGACGCATATAGAGCTGTACCACACCCCCATCTTGGCCTCTCTGACCATGTCTCCATTTTTCTGGCCCCTGTCTACCACCTCTCTGAGAAATTCCAGACCCACACAGAAGATCATCAATGTGTGGCCCAGTGACAGTGACTCTGTACTGCAAGACTGCTTTGCATGCACAGACTGGCAGGTCTTCAGGGAGGCCACTGTAAATGAGGGAGAACTGGATCTGGAGGATTACTTGTCTGATGTCCTCTGATACATCAGCAAGTGCATTGAAGATCTCACCACCACCACCAGGACTGTGATGAGCTACCCAAACCAGAAACCCTGGCTGAACGCAGAAGTCTGAACTCTGCTGAAAACCATGGATGCTGTCTTCAGGTGTGGCGACTCACAGGAACTTGGGAGAGTTAGAAAACAGCTGACCGCAGGTATTAAGAGGGCCAAAGCCATATATGCACAGAAGACCCAGGGACATTTCTCCACCCAGGATACACAGAGCATGTGGAAGGAGATTAAGTGCATCACAGACTATAACATCAGATGTGTGTCCCCTGCTCTGCTGCATTCAATCTGTTTGAGCCGGTGACTGTGTCATTTTTAGAGGACATGGTTGATCAGATTAAGCTCTCT